AAACTCTGTGCCTCATTTCCTTCATATGTTGAATGGAGAAAATGTCACTAGTTTCCTTTTTGGGTTCTTGTGAGGATACAATTTAAAATACATAAAGCATATGAACTAGAATTTCCATTTCCAGTAATGACAGGAGGTAAACTGGACCAATCCTTCCACTGAAAACTGAAAAAGCTGAATAGGATATTTTTTTTTATAACTGGGTCAAGGTCTAGGTAATCCAGTGGGCCCAGCAGTTAGGCCACAATTACCCAGGGACACCACGCTGAAGTGGCAGTGAACTATGAAGTGAAGTGAACTATGAAGGGGCAGAGGAGGGGCAGTGCTGCTGTGCTATAAATGTAACCTAGAACATGGAAGCACCTCATAAATGTGACGTAGGTGATGCTGTACGAAAAAGGCCAGAGATCAACAGGTGGAAGAATACACCTGGTATTTGGCTAAAATTGAATTCAAATGGAATCCTTGACATATTTTGTGGAAGTATCAGAAACATTGCTTTATTTTTATTTATTTAATAAATGGCTACACAGTACTTATAACATGTCAGACACCATTCTAAGAGCTTTACAGATATAGCACATTTAATCGCTTGCTCTAATCTGAGCATACCACAGATTAACTTAGAGAAAAACCAGCAAGTACTATAACTTTCCTAAAAATGAACAAGCAACTGGCCTAGCAATGCCGGAGTCAGATGACAGTGAGGACAGCCTGAGGTGCAGGTTGCCACTCTGCCCCCAGAGGTGACTGTTCCCTCTGACTGTCCCCATCCCCACCATTTCTGCAATTTGTCCTGAGAAGTTTTCCAGCCCTTTCTAACCCTGACCTGCCACATTCCCAAACTCAACCTGGGAAGATGACTCAGATTCATTCTACCTCATCTCTAACCAGTATTTCGCCACTCTAGAGCATAACCCTCATATTTTGATTCTCGCCTGGGAGCTCAGTCCTTGTTCCTGATTACTTCTTCCTGTACTATTGGGTAAAGCATTTTGACTCTGTAAACAGTGTTCAACAGTGTCTGGCACAAAGTATATTCTTACTACGTATCTGTTGGAAGAATATACACAACAAACATTTATTCATTCATTCTACCAAATTTCCTGAGAGTACACTACTTTTCAGGTATCTTGTTAAATACTGAACACTGAAAGAAAAACTTACAACAGCCTGCTATAGAGAAACTCAGCATCCAGTGACGTAAAACTTTTTCCCAAAACAGAAGGGCTGAAATATTTAGTCATGTGTTTCATGGCACTGTAATGGACATGTGTCATTTGAAAGGCTACCCAACACTTCAACTCCTACCAGAGCCCACATCCACTACAGCAGACACAAATGCAGACACTCTTTTTCCTGGTCTCACTGGCACATGAACTAGGCCCTGCCAATCAGATCACCCACTCCAGAATCTGAATTGGAAGCCAGCAATGCAAAGAAGCCAAGGTAAGCAGAAACCGTTCTGTGGTGGCTGGAGAGAGTGAATGCCAGTTCCAGAGACAGCAGAGGAGAAGGTTACGGCTGGAGCTTTGGGTGACCACGGCCAGCTGGTGGTGCCAGCAGCAGCCCAGTGCCCAGGACAGCAACCAGGCTTTCTCTCCCAGACTGGCTCTGCAGCAGGATTTGGGGTACTGCTCCTGGCTACCTAGTCTCCAAGCTATTTGTTCAACCCTTTAGGAGAATCTGTGAGCTCCCTAACACTCTTCTAATAAGCTCTTTATCCGCTTAAATTAGAGCTCATTTCTACTAGTTGCAAGCAAGAATCCTGACTAATAGAGTAGTCACGAACTAGGGAAAACTTGTTAGCCTAAATCGCTACACAGTGGAGGGAGCAAGTGTTCCAAGAGGGCTGGACACTGATGTCCTCTCCGTCAAGGAAGGTGACTTACCCTGAGACTGTACAAGGAGCAACCGAGATGGTCTCACTAGCAGGATCTATGCCTGTGCCTTTGGTTTCCTCTAGCTGTTAGGTGGAAAGTTCACAGTTAGGATGTGAAGGCTCAGACCCAAGGATTTTAGCTCCTTTGATGCACAGCTGTCTCCTTCCTAGCCACTAGCCATCCATCGGGAGCCGTTCTAAACTTTCAAGGTGCTCCTTATGCTCGACCCCTAACTACCAGACACTCCCTGTGAACTCCGTCAGGTTTCTTTTTTCCTACCTATCAACAGCTGGACACCATTCTCTTCTTGGTGTCAGAGGTCCATCCTTTTTTTTTTATCGCTTCTTGAGCTTATTCTGCCAATACTTTCTCTTTTTCTCTCCATTGCTCTTACTCCTCAGCTAACAAACACATCAAATGTTCCCCATTCTTAAGAATATTAAATTCTTCCATAGCCCTGCCTGGCCTTCAATCACCACTCCTACCCTCACCCCGAGAGATGTCTGCCTTTTAATCTTGATATCATTAGCACCTAGAACGAGAATGTAACAGAATAAGCATGCAATAGATGGCCGATGAATAAATAAATGCAGTGAAACAGACTAGAGTACAAATTACTGCAGTGTAGCAAATGAGCTCCCTTGTCCTGAGCTCCCCAAATCTTCCATGAACTTGTATTTACGAGTATTACAGGATATGATGTAGAAAGAGAGATATGGTTTAATTCTGGTGAACACTAGCATCAGATAGTGCAGAGGCATCCAGAGAATGAAGTGATTCCCAGACACTTCAGAGGTGGAATTTCCAGATGACAAAAGAAATAAGGTTCAGAGACCCCAGAATGAACCATCTCTATAGGATGGCAGTTCTGTCATCAAACATACCAAAGACAAACTACTCCTATCTTGGTTGTATCAGCTGTAACAACCATGAATGCAACATGCTGAATAATGCAAGTTAGACATGGTTCCTTCTCCATGGAATTTCTAAACTGAGGCTGCTCCTCCTCTTCCTCCTCACCTTTGTGGGACTCCTCTCAGATTTTGCTCTTCCAAACAGCCCCTTTAGCTTTTGAAATTTTGGCTTTCCTCTGACTCCAAGGCATAGTGGTTAGATCCACAGAGTCAAATTCAAATCCTGGCTCTGCCATT